TTAAAACAACTTGAAATATAACTTCAAAAATTACCTCTACTCTTGCACTTTTATTTACAAACCTTTTTACTCAAAAAACTAAACTTTCTATTAAAAAAATTTCACGTGATATGGCGCAGTAGTTGTGTTGCAATTATAAAAAATATCAGTCCAAGGACTTTTGCACCAGACTGTATACTAGCTTATATACTAGAATTAATCTTCAAGGATTAATAATTATCCAGATATCTTAATATTTTTACTTGAATCTCAAAAGAAATTTTTATCTTTTTTTATTATTATCTGTAATATTACAGACAAGTCTTGTTTAACAGATCTTTTATTTAAACAAGTATCAGATTGAAATATTTCAAATTAAATTAGTCAGGTCCCAAAGTCTGCCAGTATAGTTTGAGAAAATTTTTGAATAGTTATTATAATTCTGAAAATGGAATTTTAGAATCCACTGATATAGTTTGAAATTAATATTATACTCAAATAATTATTACAATTCTAAAAACAAAGTCCTGAAATTTGTTTTCTATCCAGTTTAGGGAAATAGATCAAATATAAATTGTATAACCAAATTAGAAGTCTTTCTTCATATAATTCTCATGATAAATCATAGCTCAATGGACTCCTTATATTTTTTAAATAATATAATTCTTTATTTGTCTTGGTTTATTATTTACTATTTCAATTTTTCTTTGATATTTTTCATTTGACTCTTATTTTATCCTTATGCAATCTAATTATTTTTTTTTACATAATTCTCATATGGTATTGAACTTTAAATCTTGTGATTGCAATTTGAAAGTATTACTACTATGCTATAGATTTACAAGTCTAAATTACAATCAATTTTTCTTTTTTTTCTTAATATATTAATTTAATAATTTATCATTTTTGAAATAATCTATAATGATAAATTGTAAACAATAATTCTGATAAGTAGAGATCTTAGTACCAATCTATCAAGAAATTGAAATATTGTTTCCTAAATCTGACTTAGAGTGATTAGTTGAGACTTTGTTTTGTTTAATTCAAACTAGCTTAATAGATTTTCTCATTTTTAAATAGTAATATCCGTCAATTAATAATATACAATAAATTGTTTATTTAATATCTTAATAAAGGAACGCCAAAATGGCATGATTGCAGGTTAATAAAGAAAAAATAATAGTAATTATGAAATTAAAGTTGAATAATTACTTTATTTTTATTTTTTATCTTTTTTTTTTTCAATAAAATATACAAGATTATACTGCATATACACAAACCACTATTAAACCTAATGTCAAACAGATCATTCGAATTTCAACAATATGGAGCCGTTGTAACAAGAGAGGATACAACCATGACAAGAGACAAATATCTCGTTGGCTGAAATTTGACATTTCCGTAATCTTAAAAGTTAACAGGGGTATTGATCTATCGCTTTATTAAAGATTTAGCTTTCAAGAGTTTCAAACTATTGAATGTTAGATGTTCGCTTAGTAATTTATAAAAATATAACATAACATTTAGACTACATGAATACTTTATCATACATAATTATACACATTTTCTCATCATCGCTTATTTTTTTGCTTTTTTAAATGTCGAATGTTCCGCCAAGTTTCTTATTAAACTTTCACGCCTTCTATTCATAATTTCACTTTCATTCAAGATATTTTGTTGTTCCCAAAGAGCACGTTCCTGTTCATGTCCGGGAGATAATCCGATTTCTGACGCAGAAACGTGTATCTGAGATGGGATCGATGATTTTTGAGTCATTTCACCAGGTGTAAAAACATTAGGAAGTGAATGCGAGGTATGTAGTTGTAACATCGTGGTATTTTCGTGGTTTTGATGAAGGGAAAGATCTACATTAGTCGGTTGGTGTTTTGTGATATCACTCGTTATTGAACGACGAGGTGCAATAACGAGTCCTTCGTCATCTTCATTAACAGCCTCACTAATAACTTTGTTGTTCAAACTTGTATTGTTCTGTGTTCGGATTTCTTGGAAACATTCCTGTAACCATTGTGCACATATTTTCACGGCCCCCTTACTTTCTGGTAACAATAAAATCATTATCAAAAATGCATGGCCAACACCTTGAATAATCTTAACTTCCACCCAATTCTCAGATTGATGGGCTTTATCCAGGCTACTCATTCTCAATCCTTCACCAAATTTTCCCCCATTGCTCATTTGACTCTTTTTCCGCTTAGCCTCCCGTATACGTCCTGCAAAAACCACAGTATCATCGACGAAAGGGTCTTTCTCGCCACACATGAAATAAGTCTTGGGAAATTGCGCTAATAATTCGTCGGGACCAACAATGGGTGAAAGCAAATAATCAGATCCGAAATCTGGACAATTATTCGGACCGAGATAAAGTATAGCCATTGCACGCATCTAAAAAGAAAAAAAAACATTAGCAAAAAAAAAACGTTACCAGTAAAAAAACAAATAATTTAGACTTAAAAGGCCTTTTATTACCAAATCGGGATTTATAATTCTGTCATTAAAGAAACTCATACGGCTGGTCATTGCCAATCGTGTTCCTATAACTGGGCGAGGAATTTTATCGTGGTCAGTCACATCATGGCCTTCGATCACTTGAACACGTTCTTCAATAGTTCTTTCATCCTCTCTTGACCCCGAAAAACTTCTTCTCCATCTCTTCTTTTTGACATCCGGGACCACAGCCAAGGGACTCTTGTGACTTAAGTGATCTTTAGACTCCAGTACTCCGGGGATAGAATGAGTTGATTCGGCCCTAATAACAGAGAGTTGAGATGGAGACATCCAGCAATTGATGTCAAAATCTAAACACGGATATATAAGGACAAGGCCGGTAGGATGTGGAAGGGGTGTTTGAGATTCGAGAATTTTATACATCACTGAAGCCACAAGGTTTCCTCCCCTAATATCAGAATTAAAGGTAAAAGTAAATTTTGAAAGAAAGGAAAAAGTGTATTAAATTCATTCCATCTACCATGAAAAATAATAATATCGAAACTTACGCGGAATCACCCACCAATGCTATTTTGATTTGTTTTTTTTCGTTACCGTCCCTATCTTTCCATCCGCCCATCCCAATCACTTCACCATTACCTTCCACAATACTTTGATAGACATCAAAGCATTCCTCTAAAGCATATGGATAAGGATATTCTGGTGCCTTCCCATAGTCAATGCTTAAAACCGGTGATTGAGTTTTTGCCGCCCAACGAGATAAATATTCCTCATGACATGGAGGTGCCATAGTAACGAATCCACCCCCAGGAAAATTAAGAATAAGGCGATCACAAGATTCAAAATCTTTCTGAGAGCCCTTGAAGTATAAAAACCCAACTATAGGTTTTGTTCCGTGTGGATTTTTTTGAGGACGTGGAATTAATATTTTTTTATAAATACCTAGGCGTGGAAGTGTCAATTTGATCATTGTACGCAGATAAGGATTGAGGATTTTTTCCCAAGAAACTCGTATGTGTTCCACGGTAACAGTGGCGCGAATACGACGGACCTAATACGTGAATGAAACGATTGAATTGCTATTTTGTTTAAAAAAATGCAACAAGAACTTAATTACAATATAAAGTTTACTTTCTCATCTGCTTGATCTGCAAAAATTAAATAATATAAAGAAAATACAAGAGACATAATATCTCGAAGAAATCTAGGGCGAATTGTCATTGCAGTCCAAAAGCCAGCATCCAGCGCAGTTAGGATCCATGTAGCTCTATAATAATTGCGGCTATACTGTACATGAAAAGCGAAATTTATTAAGATGTGCCTGAAACGCGAAAAATTAACGAGTAAACATTTTACGTACTAATCGGGCGAGTGGTTCAGGTGCTATTATAGTAAATTGAAAGGTTCATGAATATTTCAAAAAGCTTAATAAGCAATAACATTTGAATTTCAATTTACCACCAAGCCCTATTATCCGATCGGCATTCTTTAACATGTAAATAATCGCCAAAGTGCCAGCTATAAGTTGGAAGGGTGGAAATCTTGCTGTTTCGAAATGAATTAGAAAAAAAAAAAAAGAAAAATCTTATCTTAGTTTTACTAAATCAACTTTTCTCCGCTCGATATTTATAATTAGTTATCAGAGAATTACATAATTTATCATTCCATTTTCGGATGAAGTTAGGACCTCTACTATCAGCTTTGTATAAATAACAAAACCTAAAAATAATTTCAAGTTATTATTTCGATCATAGTAATATAAAAGTGCGAGGTTTATATTTAAATACCAAGAGGCCAGGACTAAAATAACTTGAAATCGTTTCCAAGAGGGAGAAGGTCTGCCTAGAATATGATCTATCATTTCTACAGTTCAAGAAACGGTTCTTTGATCGAGATAATTTAACCGCTGTATATTTCATTTATTTGTATAATTAATTTTTGGTAGCAACCGATTGGTTGATGAAACTATTTCGCTTCATCTAGATACGTTAGCGATGATCAAATTTGGAGATAATCAATAATGTCGTTCTCATCAAGACATTTTATTAACCAACCTGAAAACTTTAAGATACACGAGTATATTATATTCTTTTTTTGAATTATAAATAAAAACATAAAACATTAAATTTTAAAAAATTGAACTAATAAATACATATTATATATTATACTTTATTGACTATAAAGATCTTTATAAATTAAAATTTTTTTTTTTAACCCATAGTTAGGTCAGCACGGTATACCTTTATTGTATATATGCTAGATATTTACAAATTGTTGTGACTTTCACATACTAACTCACTCATTATCAAAAAACTATTTCTCTAAATGCAACTTAAAAATTATATTTCACTTCTTTACTAATTTAGATAACTCCTTTAATTAATAAAATCATTGCTTACAAGTTATTATCAAAAAATTTTAAAAAAGAAAAAGGGGTTGTGTTTGAGTTGGATCTTGTCTAAAGGGATGTAATATTGTTTAGCTGATCATTAGAGATGGTTCCAATGAGTGGATAGAAGTATCAAAACTCTTCAAAAAGATATTGATCCTGAATATGATAGTTGTATTCATTGAAGAAAAAGTAAGAAAGTTGGAATTGTTATTTATCCAAGGTAACCTAATTCAGCCTTATTCTTTTTATGTAGTCAGTAATGTCATGATTTTTGTGTTCTGTATCTATTCGTGCAACTAGCATGCAACTTATGATAGATCTCAGGTTCTTATGAATACTGAAAAAATATATTCAGACATGTGAGGTGACCAATGGAAGCTTGTTTACATTCTTTTACTAATATGTTTCCTGCTAACTAATTACTGCATGAAAAATTTTATGCTACTAAAAATTTAGGATCAAACTGAAGTAAACAAAATTTACTAGAAAAACTAAGAAAAAACATTTTGAAAATCAATAGATAATAGAAAAGTGGGTGATTGTCTTCAAGATAAGTATTGCATTACAAGAAAAGCTATGTATTGACTTTCTAATAGGTAAATGGTGGCTTCACTACAGTTCTTCTTTCTTTTAGAACTTTCTTGCCATTGGTAGGAAAGGTGTTTCATGGCTTTAGTCACTGAAAATTATATTTTTATTTAAAAAGAATTGTTTACAAGAGGAAGAGGGAAATGAGTATGACTCTTAAAGTCCTACTTCAAGTTGATTTAAGAAAAAATGATAAGACTTTGTTAGCCAAAAAGTATAAAAATTTTTTGTAAATATCTTTTTTGAGTATAGTCAAAGGATCAGTAAAAAGAATATATATAATTCTTTAAAATATTTATATATTTTATATTATAAAATAGTATTAAAGTTAAATCTTTATTTAACTTATTTATTTTTATTTTATATTTTTAAAACTTTAAGTACAACTTTTTAAATAATTTATTGTTCTTTTAATAGATTAAATAAAAATTCTTTTAATTGCTAATATTATTGCTTATAAATTATTATTGTAATTTTATATATGATTTTGATAGAACTTAAAATTTAATTACTTTATTTTATATTTAATCTCTTTTATTAAAATCTTCTTTAAAAGACTTTTTCTACTAATCTTCTGACTACATACAAAAAATATGTTTGCAAGAAGTTTTTATACTTATTTGCAAATAAAGTCTTAATACCTTCCTTAAAACAACTTGAAATATAACTTCAAAAATTACCTCTACTCTTGCACTTTTATTTACAAACCTTTTTACTCAAAAACTTAACTCCTAATAATCAAAAAAAGTCAAGTAACACCTTTGATATCAATGGCAAAAAAGTTTTCAAAGAAAGAAAAATTGATTATAAAGTATCTGAAGGCCTATTTAGTCTTCAAAGTGAGAGGTTTATAAAGGTTTTCTGCAATAAAAAGGCTTATTTTCTTTCTTTTTGACTATCTTGTCCTCTTAAAGCTTTTACTTTTATGATTTTCTAAAGAATTTTGTCTATCTCAGTCTAATCCTAAATTTTGAATAATACAAATCATTACCAAAAGTGATTGGTTGACATGAAACACATTAGTTTTTATAATATAAACAAGCTCCTATTGATCAAATTCATATTTTTTGATAATATTATTGATAATTGAAAAGAAGATTTCAAAAATATTTGCTTCCAAAAGCTCAAGTTTTTTAATGAAAACTTTAATAATACCAAAAAACCAAGTAATAGGTAATGTGGATTGCAAACTTTCATCTCTTACCTAAGTTCCTCAAGTGATAACAAAGCTTTAATGAAAAAAAGCTAAGGTTTAAATACTTTTATTAAGATATCACAATCTGGTACTCACTTAAATAAAAGATTAGTTGGATTGACTTGTCTGATGCTATAGGTGGCAAAAAAAAATTTTTTCTTCTAAGGTTCAAGCAAAGCAAGAAGACTATTCCAATCAGATAGATCCCTTTTGAGAAGAAATTGTTTTTATTTTGGATTTTTTTTTGGTAGGCCTTAAATTGTCACCTTTTCTCAATTCTTTT